ATCACCTCCCTACTACTTCTGCTGACAAGACTATTCCTGATACAGGCCAGGATGCCATTGGCCTTCTTGGCTGCCTAAGCACACTGCTGGCTCATGTTCAGCCGGCTGTCAGTCAACACTCCCAGGTCCCTCTCTGCCTGGCAATTCTCCAGCCACTCCTCCCCAAGTCTGTAGTGCTGCTGGGGGTTGTTGTGGCCGAAGTGCAGGACCCGGCACTTGGCCTTGTTGAAACTCATGGAATTGGCCTTGGCCCAGCGATCCAGCCTGTCCAGATCCCTCTGTAGAGCTTCCCTACCCTCAAGCAGATCAACACTTCCACCCAGCTTGGTGTCATCCGCAAACTTACTGAGGGTGTACTCCATCCCCTGGTACAATTTGCCATTGTACAAAGACACTTTTGCATCAAAGTAGTGAAAAATGTGCTTTGAAGAAGCTTGGCATAACTAATGTGCAGGATGCATGTCTTTCTCCCCACCAAGGCTCTGAGATATTTATAAAAGCAGACATACCTCATTAATTCAGTAATTCACCCCAGTAACAAAGAGAAGTAGTGTGAACTAGTTGTGCTGTGCAGACCAAGTGCTGTGAGGAATTTAAGAATCTAACCAAAAGGAAATGGAGCTGACAGACAGCATCTGATACATGATTAGCAAGCAGACACTAGGAATGCTTAAGACATAACTAATAGTGTTGATAAGTAACAGGATTAAAATTACATAGTGTAGCACTATTCTTAATCTGCATGCGTATGTGTATATGCATAGGACTTTACATAAGGTTTAGTGAGAACCATAAGCATGATCTCTTTCAGACAATGTATTTCATAATAAAAATAAAGCTCTGATGGTTAGGGCCAATGAGGCAAATATACACAATCAGTTATAAATCAGTATAGATCTAACATCATTCTGTCAATACATGCTCAGGAAGTAAATGCTTCACAAACATGCAGTGAATGCATTGTTTAAATCCCCTGTGTATGAATCTTGTCATCACTGGCAGAGATGAGAGCAGAAGAGTGGCTGCTGGCTGCTCTGCAGGGGTTCAGTTCAGGCTCTAGCCAGCAGCAGAAAAACAAAATCTCCAGAGTTTTAATTCTCTCATGAGCCAATAGTCTCCCATATTGACGCACACACACACCCGCACGCACACACACAGAGACCATAAAAATAGCCTCAAGCGCTTCTGAACCTGTGACTCATGCCAGCTTGACCACACTCTCTGGGTAGTCCAGGAATTCAGACAAAAACATCAATCAAAGGACCCAGCTGTACTGGAATGTGTTCAGCCACCACTCCCACTCTGAGAGTTAGAGTTTATTTTAGCTACTGTTTTCTACTCTGGGGTTTCGTTGTCATTAGTCAGTGGAAATTGCTTGGTTATTCATGGAGTAGAAAATGATAATATATGTAATTAGAATTATATATATGTATATTTATGCACACACATAGACTCACACAAACACAGATATGCATCCTGACTGATGGACTGAGCTTTCAGCCCTGCACGGGGAGCAGAAGCTCATAGTTCTGTTAATGCAAGAGTTACATGTCTAATTCTGTTCAAGCATAATGACCCTATACTTAGAATCAAGTACATAAAAGGTGACAATTGTTGCTCCGCATTACTCTGCATAAATTCAATAATATCATTGTCTGGCCTCTGCAATATTGAAGTCATCTTGAGGCTGCCTGGGGCAACCTTGACAATATTGTTGTTAAAATTGGCACTGATCCATTGACTGCAATAGATGTTGTGCCAGTTTACGCCAGCAATAAATTCAGCCCAGTCATTTCGCCTACTCCCATAACAAAAAAAGCTTTTTGAAGTATTAAAAAAATTAAATGTGATTCTTTTTGACAACACTAGCCTGACATTCCAGTGAAAGCTGAGCAACTCAACTTCATATCAAAGAAAGGTTCACCGCATGTGCAGTTCTGCTGTTGCATTTAATTATGCAGTTCCCTAAAGTCTTTAAGAAAAATCTGATGATTCTTGTGCATTCTAGATTGTGTCTTTGTAAATTAGCAGGAAACCCCATTCCCATGACCCAATATTTGTCTGTATAGACTCCTGTGTAAATAAAGAGCTGATGAGTTTGAAATAAAAATAGATCAGTAAATACGGATTTCCCAAAAGCCATAACAATGCATTTGCTTTTTCCCCTCCATTTCAATTATTTGCAGATGAAGAGCTTTTTTCAGGAATGTATATTGATTTCATGGGGACGGATGCAGCCATTTTTCGAAGTCTGACCAGGAGGAATGCAGTGCGAACTGACCAGCACAACTCCAAGTGGCTGAGTGGTGAGATGCCTTTGTTTTACTAGATCTCTTAAAGGGTTTCACAGAAATTCTGCTTTGGTTATTTTTTTTTTTTTTTTTTTAAATAACAAGCTTGTATTTTAAAGAGCTTTTCTGTTAATTTAATTTATGAAGCTGAACTGTGAAGAAATGTGTGTAAATACATATTGTGGACAATACACAGTTGTAAAGGGTTACCTGCATAAGCCAACCCCTTAGGCCACCCCACCTGATGGCCTTTTTTGCATTAAGCCTGAACCAAACTGTTCAAGGAAAAGCATATTGAAAACCTTTCAAATGGCAAGTGGTCAGACAACCTGACTTCTAGGGAAGTGCCTTCTCCACCTCTAATGCATCAGGCATTGCCTTGAATTAGAGTGCTTGATCCTAAGTTTTTTTCCTATTGAATTACAAACTTCAGTTAATTCAGGCTGATCCACCTCTGTACAGAAGACTCACCACCACTTGCATTCAAAATGTGTGCAGAAGAGTGTCCCTTTATCAGAGAAGTCAGTGACAATTATCGCCATTTATTTCAATCGTAAGAAATTGATTATCAAAACACAGTAGGAGAACTAATTTCTGAGTGCAAACACTCAACTCTTGGCTTCACTGAAATCAATGTGAAAATTCTCCCTGACTTTACTTATAAGAAGACTTCTTCTGGTTAAACTAATTTGAATTAAAATGGTGGTCAACCCTCTGAGCAGAGATGGATGTCAAAGGTTATAGAGCAACAGCCTTCTGGTGTGTCAGCCACTCCTCCCAGTTTAGTATCGTCAACAAACTTGCTGAGGGTGCACTCTGTCTGTTCATCCAGCTCGTTGATGAAAATGTTGAATAGGACCAGACCCAGTACTGACCCCTGGGGAACACCGGTAGTCACAAGCCTCCAACTGGATTTTGCTCACTGATCACAACTCTCTGAGCCGTGTTCTTCAGCCAGTTCTCAACCCACCTCACTGTCCACTCATCTGTCCCACACTTCCTAAGCTTCCCTATGAGGATGTGGTGGGAAACAATGTCAAAACCTTTTCTAGAGTTGAGGTAGACAACATTCACTTCTTTCCCCTAGTCCACCCAGCCGGTCATGCCATCTTAGAAGGCTATCAGGTTGGTCAGGCATGATTTCCCCTTGGTGAATCCATGCTGACTGCTCCTGATAATCTTCTTTTCCTCCAACTATTTAGAGATAACAGCCAGGATGAGCTGTTCCATCACCTTTCCAGGAATGGAGGTGAGGCTGACTGGCTTGTAGTTTCCTGGATCCTCCTTCATGCCCTTTTTGAAGGCTGGAGTGACATTGGCTTTCCTCCAGTCCTCAGGCACCTCTCCTGTCCTCCATGAC